GCAGGTGTGTTACGGTTGACTATTTGGCTGCATTCTTCAAGAAGGCGCTGGATATCTCTGTGTCCACGTTCACGTGCTGCATGTCGAGGCTGATGGCCTACATGATCACACAGCTCTCGATTTACTTGGTGCTCAAGGAGGAGGCAGACAGCTTCATAACTACCTTCCCTAGCGGCCAGGAACAATGCAGTCTGGTCCTGTTTTGAAGATAAAGAAACAGATAGGCAATCTTAGCAGAGTAAAACTTTGAATATTTTTCGGGTGAGAATGTTATATCACACAGAGTATAACTCTAATGTTTTTATTTTTTTTACAACGTAAAAAACCCCCAAACATCTCCATTGAAATATCCTGTATTAATTACCGTATTTTTCGCTCCATAAGACGCACTTTTTTCCCCCCAAAAAAGGGGGGAAACGTCAGTGCGTCTTATGGAGCGAATATAAAGAGGTCGGTCCGGTATTTCCACTGCCACCATGTCAGAATACCGGGCCGGCCGCTCAGCTGTTCTCTGCGGCAGGAACTCACCTGTTCCTCGGTCCAGCGCTGTAGTCTTCCCGCGCTGTAGCCTTCCCGCACCAGCTTCTTCCCGCCCTGGCATCTGTGACAGCCGGGTGCCCACTGCGCATGCGCGAGAAGCACATGACAGGTCCCAAAAGACGCCAGGCCATTCACAAAGCGCAGCTCTTCTCGTGCATGCGCAGTGGACACCCGGCTGTCAAAGTCGGGTGCCCACAGTATAGGAAGGGGAACTCTGCAGAAGTGGGAGCGGGTACCTGTCAAATTCAGGTACCCGCTCCCCCTCCCTCCCTAAAGGTCCGCAGTGTCTGGTCATGCCCTGTACTGTCTGCAGTCTCTGGTCATCCCCTGTGCTGTCTGCAGTCTCTGTTCATCTCCTGTACTGTCTGCAGTCTCTGTTCATCTCCTGTACTGTCTGCAGTCTCTGTTCATCTCCTGTACTGTCCGCAGTCTCTGGTCATCTCCTGTACCATGTCCGCAGTCTCTGGTCATCTCCTGTACCATGTCCGCAGTCTCTGGTCATCTCCTGCACCATGTCCGCAGTCTGTGGTCATCTCCTGTACATGTCCGCAGTCTGTGGTCATCTCCTGTACCATGTCCTCAGTCTCTGGTCATCTCCTGTACCATGTCCTGCAGTCTCTGGTCATCCCCTGTACATGTCTCAGTCTCTCTGGTCATCCCCTGTACTGTCTGCAGTCTCTAGTCATCCCTGTACTGTCTGCAGTCTCTGGTCATCCCCTGTACTGTCTGCAGTCTTCTGGTCAACCCTATACTGTGTCTGCAGTCTCTGGTCAACTCCTGTACTGTGTCCGCAGTCTCTGGTCATCGCCTGTACTGTGTCCGCAGTCTCTGGTCATCCTGTACTTGGTACTATGTCCGCAGTCTCTGGTCATCCCCTGTACTGTGTCCGCAGTCTCTGGTCATCGCCTGTACTGTGTCCGCAGTCTCTGGTCATCTCCTGTACTGTGTCCGCAGTCTCTGGTCATCTCCTGTACTGTGTCCGCAGGCTCTGGTCATCTCCTGTACTGTGTCCGCACCGCAGTCTCTGGTCATCTCCTGTACTGTGTTCGCACCGCAGTCTCTGGTCATCTCCTGTGCTGTGTCCGCAGTCTCTGGTCATCTCCTGTACTGTGTCCGCAGTGCCTGGTCACTTCCTGTACTGTGTCTGCAGTCCATTGGTTCAGAATATTTTTTTTCTTGTTTTTCTCCTCTAAAACCTAGGTGCGTCTTATGGTCAGGTGCGTCTTATGGAGTGAAAAATACGGTAGTTGGAAAGAATCTAGTCTACTATTTGCCACAAAGCAACCTCGTTCCTAAGCTGGCCTAACTCTACGTGACACTAAAAAACCTGTAAAATTATTATTATTTGAAATTAATTGAATCCATATTAGCTCTAGAACCACCAGCTGTGATAAGTATACCAGCTATACAACGGGGCCGTTTATTTAACTTACTTAAATTGGAACGTCACTCTGAATCAACATTAACTATTTTGAATCCTTATACTGATAGCATTAGCAAATAGATAGGAAAGTATATCATATTTACTTGTTTTTTTAAACAGTTTTCTTACATTTCTTCAGTTACTTCCTGGTTTCCATGCCTTTGCAAATGGTGTCATACACCCCAGGAGTCTTCAGGAGGGGAGGAGAGGTTTTCTCACCTAACCACACCCTCCTGCTCGTATGAATGAGCTAAGGGCAGATGGATTCCAGGAAGTAAATGCTACATGAACTATCTGTCACAGCCAGAAATGCTAGGGGGTGTTTTTCAAAGTGGTTTTTTTTTCAACAAAATAAAGCATGGAGATATGGATGGATGGGGAGTTTGCTATGAATGATACAAACTGGGCACCAATTCACAAAAAGAACATTGGGGAACTGGAGAAAGTACAGAGAAGGAAACCCAAACTGATAAGAGGCATGGAGGAGATCAGCTATGAGGAAAGATTAGAGGAACTGAATTTATTCTCTCTTGAGAAGAGGAGATTAAGGGGGGATATGATCACCATGTATAATACATAAGGGGATATGATCTCCATGTATAATACATAAGGGGGGGATATGATCTCCATGTATAATACATAAGGGGGGATATGATCACCATGTATAATACATAAGGGGGGGATATGATCACCATGTATAATACATAAGGGGGGGATATGATCTCCATGTATAATACATAAGGGGGGATATGATCACCATGTATAATACATAAGGGGGGATATGATCAACATGTATAATACATAAGGGGGGGATATGATCTCCATGTATAATACATAAGGGGGATATGATCACCATGTGTAATACATAAGGGGGGATATGATCTCCATGTATAATACATAAGGGGGGATATGATCACCATGTATAATACATAAGGCGGGATATGATCACCATGTATAATACATAAGGGGGGGATATGATCTCCATGTATAATACATAAGGGGGGATATGATCACCATGTATAATACATAAGGGGGGGTATGATCTCCATGTATAATACATAAGGGGGATATGATCTCCATGTATAATACATATAAGGGGGGATATGATCTCCATGTATAATACATAAGGGGGGGATATGATCACCATGTATAATACATAAGGGGGATATGATCTCCATGTATAATACATAAGGGGGGGATATGATCACCATGTATAATACATAAGGGGGGATATGATCACCATGTATAATACATAAGGGGGGATATGATCTCCACGTATAATACATAAGGGGGGATATGATCTCCATGTATAATACATAAGGGGGGATATAATCAACATGTATAATACATAAGGGGAGATATGATCTCCATGTATAATACATAAGGGGGGGATATGATCACCATGTATAATACATAAGGGGGGATATGATCACCATGTATAATACATAAGGGGGGATATGATCTCCATGTATAAATACATCAGTGGTTCATATAGTGAACTCGGTGCAGAGTTATTCACCCTGAGGTCATCACAGAGGACAAGGGGGCACTCTTTACGTCTGTAGGAAAAGAAATGTAATCTCCAAACATGGAAAGGTTTTTCTTCATAGTAAGAGCTGTGAAAATGTAAAATAGACTCCCTCAAGAGTTGGTTCTGGCCAGCTCAGTGGATTGCTTTAAAAAAGACCTGGATTCTTTCTTAGATACACAGAATATAACTGGATACTAACATTTATAGCTAACGTTGATCCAGGGAATATCCGATTGCCTCTCGGGGATCAGGAAGGGGTTTTTTTTTCCCCTGCAGGAGCAAATTGGATCATGCTTTGCTGGGGTTTTTTTTTTTTTTGCCTTCCTCTGGATCAACTGTGGGTATAGGATTATAACTTTTTTTTTTTTTTGGTTGAACTGGATTGACTTGTCTTTTTTCAGCCAGACTAACTATATAACTATGTAAATGAAATAAATAGCGCTTTTGGTTTGTGGTGCTCAGATACAGAGTAGTTCTGCTTTAAATTTATTTCCTATAATCGTCAGTTCCACTCAGTAGCCAAAACGTGGCATTTGCCTGAAATATCTTAATTAGGAAAATACAGCATTATGGCCCCCTAGATGAAGCTGACAATCATAGGAAATAAGTGTATTACGGAAATTAATCATGACAGCTGTGTGAATGCTTATGACATTTGCACAGTGTTTTTTTTTAATAACTAGACACCTTAAAGTGATTCTAAAGGTTCAATTTTTCTTTGTGAAAAGTGAGAAGCATGTTATACTTACCTACTCTTTGTAATGGTTTTGTACAGAGCAGCACCAATTCTCTTCTTCTCGGGTCCCCCACCAACACTCCTGACTCCTCCCTCTTGACCAGTGCCCCCAATAGCAAGCTGCTTGCTATGGGGTCACTGGTGCGTGCTCGCTCTCAAGCTGTGCTCCATAAGACACAGAGCCTTGACTCAGTCCCCCACCCAACCTCACTCTCCTTATTGGTTCACTGGCTGTGATTAACTGATGCCAGACCATCAGGAAGGTGTGTTATTGGCCCCAAACTGTATTCTGCAGCAGAACAATAACTCCAAACATGCAGCCAATGTCATTAAGAACTATCTGTAGTGTAAAGAAAAAACAAGGAATCCTGGAAGTGATGGTTTGGCCCCTACAGAGCCCTGATCTCAACATCATCATCTGTCTGGGATTACATGGAGACAGAAGGATTTGAGGCAGCCAACATCCACAGAAGATCTCTGGATAGTTCTCCAAGATGTCTGGAACAACCTACCTGCAGAGTTCCTTCAAAACTGTGTGCACAAGCACTGTGTGTACCTAGAAGAATTGATGCTGGTTTGAAGCCAGGGGTGGTCACACCAAATTTTGATTTCATTTAGATTTTCCCTCTGTTCCCTCACTTTATTTTTATCAATTTACAAAATGTAAACAATTAAAAAATATATGTTTGAAAGCATTCTTCACACCTGCCTGCATATGACAAATTTCCACAAACTTTAGCTGCATGTGGTCTCTAGGCCACCAGTTTAGGGCCAGGGTTAGGCTGGTTTCTTACCCTCTTATCCTGAAGATCCTTGTTAGCCCCATGAGACAAAAGAGTCTTCATTGCTGGTACATTGTTCACTGCGGCAGCCCAATGTAGTGCTGATTTACCTACAGGAAGAGCATAGATAAAGTGAGAAAATGGAAACAGAGCACATATTTAGAGGAATCTAATTTTGACAAGTACAGGACTTGTTCACAATAATCAGGACAATGACAACACAGGCACATTTTATTTTTATACGAAAAGATTAACTTAGTAAACTACCATGTATTCAGATACATGAATACAAGAACATGGCACATTGACCTGCTTGCACAGAACAAGGTTTGTTAGGAGACAGCTAAAAAAAAGGCAAATAAGGATATTGATTTACCTCGCTTATCTGTTGCACCTATGTCTGCTCCACATGCCACCAGTTCTTCCACCATGTTTTGTACTGGAAGACGCGAGGCCAGGATGAGTGGTGTGGACCCGTCATGCATTCTGGCATCAATGTCTGTCTGGCGGCATCGTAACAGGGTCTGGTGGAGAAAGGGAAGATCACAAAGGGCAACTTTCCAGGCTTAATTCATAGAAACCACTCAACTTCCAGTTGTCACCTCTATAATTATTATTATTATACAGGATTTATATAGTGCCAACAGTTTGCGCAGCACTTTGCAAAATGAAGGTAGACATTACAGTTACAATACAATTTGATACAAGAGGAAACAAAGGGCCCTGCTCGTTAGAGCTTACAGTCTAGGATAATGATGACATTTTCTTGAAATGTGAGACTATTATGCAGTTTTCTATTTCAGTTTTAGGGAACGAAGATTCTTTACATTTAGTCTGATCTTTTTCTAAAAACAATTTGGTCCTTTAAAGAAGGAACTTAGAGTTTCACATGTGCATTACAGGGAAAAACAATACACTAATAGCGTAGCAGACGTTCTCCAAACTTTCCAAACAAAGGGCCAGTTTACTGTCCTTCAGACTTTGGGAGTGTGGGGCAGACTGTGACCAGTGTGAGTAAACAATGCCCCATCATTGGTATCAGGGTAAGGAATAGTGCCCCATTGCTGGCATTAGTGGGAGAAATGGTGCCCCATTGCTGGTGTCAGTGGGAGGAATGGTGCCCCATTGCTGGTGTCAGTGGGAGGAATGGTGCCCCATTGCTGGTGTCAGTGGGAGGAATGGTGCCCCATTGCTGGTGTAAGTGGGAGGAATGGTGCCCCATTGCTGGTGTCAGTGGGAGGAATGGTGCCCCATTGCTGGTGTCATTGGGAGGAATGGTGCCCCATTGCTGGTGTCAGTGGGAGGAATGGTGGTCCATTGCTGGTGTCAATGGGAGGAATGGTGGTCCATTGCTGGTGTCAATGGGAGGAATGGTGATCCATTGCTGGTGTCAGTGGGAGGAATGGTGATCCATTGCTGGTGTCAGCGTGAGGAATGGTGATCCATTGCTGGTGTCAGTGGGAGGAATGGTGATCCATTGCTGGTGTCAGTAGGAGGAATGGTGCCCCATTGCTGGTGTCAATGGGAGGAATGGTGGTCTATTGCTGGTGTCAATGGGAGGAATGGTGATCCATTGCTGGTGTCAGTGGGAGGAATGGTGATCCATTGCTGGTGTCAGTGGGAGGAATGGTAATCCATTGCTGGTGTCAGTAGGAGGAATGGTGATCTATTGTTGGTGTCAGTGGGAGGAATAGTGCTTTGTATCACTAGCAGGAATAAGAGTAGCCTCAAGAGCTGGATAAGGGCAAGCAAAGGGCTGCATCCAGCCCCACGGGTCACAGTTTGGAAACCACTGGTGTAGCAGATTAAGTCACTTTTGTGAATTGTTGCTAACTGTCTATTTATCTACCGTTATTTCCTCAAAAGTCACCTGGAAAACTCCCAGAGCATCAGCAGCAATAGCCGTGTGGAGAGGAGTCCTTCCCAGCCTGTCCTGTACGTTTGTATCTGCTCCGGCGTCCAGCATGACTTTGACAGCATCTTGTCTGGAGAATCGTGCAGCCAGATGGAGCGCTGTCTCTCCCGTGGAGTCAGTCTGGGCATTGAGACTGGCACCTTGACCAATCAAATCTGAGATGACGCTTGCCGAGTTTTCAATTTCTGGTGGATCTCCGCCACCTCCAATGGGTTCCAGACCTCCTCCCGCACATATAGCCGACATGAGTGGAGTAACTCCATCTAGAAAACATTGAGCTCCTCATAAAAACTTGACATAACAAGCAAATAAAGAGTATTATAATTATTTGGCTTGTTCTATGTTAACAATCATACCATCCCAAAATGTATAAAAATATCTGAAACCAACTTTTTTTTGCTTGCTGTCCTGGCCCCCACTAGGGAGATTCACTCTTTCTGTTTGTACTTCTAACGTTTTGAGTTGTCATTCGAACAGGAAAAGAGGAAAAATCTACCAACATATATGTCTCCTCCAGTGGATATCTGATCAATTTGGAGAGATTTTATCTCACTTTCTTGTGTTTCCAGAATACGAAGTGAAGAGAAATCTCCCCAATGGATCTCTAAAAACATTTTGGCTTTTGAGACACTAGAACAAATCACACACCTGGACCTCTCACATCAATGTCCCTGCCATCAGGTTCCTCTTGGGGTGGTGTCAGAGCAATGCATTGCGGGAAACGAACTCCAGCATCAATATGCTGTTGACTCCACTGTCGATGGTCAAGGATGGAGGGGTCTGTAGCCAGCTGAAAGGTCAAAGTGGAGATCGTGAGACAGGACAATGTGGTGAAGATTTGACAGATATGTGAAGGAGATGTATAAAGATTTAAAGTCCATCTTACTTTAAGTCTTCTGGATTTCGGTGGCACAACTCCTTCAGGACCTGAATCATCATAACCAGAATCATGCTTCATTGGTCTAAAAATATTAAAAAAAATGTTGTGTTAAATTAATTGTGTTTCTTTAATTTTGTGGGGTTTTCAATTTTCAAAATGTAAAGAAGATTTCGATAACTTTAGGATAAAATATACTTTTGTTCCCTTCTCCCACACATTACTGACCATGCTCTGGTTGGAAGTGCGGTGACTGATTTGGTTGCTTAGGTGGTAAACAGAAAATGATATGATCCGGTTCTTTGTGTGAGCAGCTAATTAATAGTGGAGTCCTGTAGAAAATGTTATTTCCATACTTTTCCGTAAAGGTGATCTGTAGCCATGTTAAAGGCATTCAAGTATTAAAGTATAACTAAAAGGCAAAACGTTTTTTTTTAGTTTTGGATAGAATGGAGAGGGATTAGAACGCCTGTCAGATTGTATTGCTGTCTGCGCCCCCGTTAAGGAGATTCACCCTCTCTATTTGTCCTGTTTACTGTTATCTTTGAAAATGAAAGTAAAAGAAAATCCCAAAGTTTGGGTTGTCCCCAGAAAAGTAACAGTGAGGGAATCTTTGGGGACACTAGTTCTGGTGATCTGGGGGCCCCAAGGGATTTCTATATATGTTGGGATTTCCTCTCACTTCCTGTTTGGCTATCTGATAGGAAGTGAATATAAACCTCCGAAAAGGGACAGAGGGGGAAACAATCTCACTGGAGTTATAACCGTCCCTTGCTCTATCCAAAAATTGAAAAAAGTTTTGCCTATAGTTCTACTTTAAGCTATTGTAAACAAGTAATAAACTTTAATTAGCCATTATTGTCCACTGTAGCTGCAATCACTGTGAAACAATGCATCTTTAACCACTTCCCATCCGGCCGCTGTATATAAACGGCCGGACAGGGGCAGTGCAGGGGAGGGTTGCCATTCATAAACTGCGCCCGCCATTTTGGATTGTGCTCGCTCACTGGGAGCGCGAGGCACAGTCATGTTCACATGAATAGGTGTAAGAAAGATGTCACTTCTGACATCATTGCTTACTACGTGTGAAATCTGTGAATGATCACAGAGATCACATGGTACAGGCTATTCACAACAGCCTTGTACCATGAGACAAGCTGTGACCAATTACAGCTCACAGTGTTTCTCAATGGCTTCAAGAATGCAGCCAGAGAGAAAGAGAAATGATTGCTTTTACAGCCTTTATGGCTGAAAAAAAATAAATAAATCTTCATCACCCATCACCCCCCACAAGTAGTACAGTGTCACCATGGTGACACTGTACTGCTAGGGTGACAGTATGTTAATACATAATATAAAAAAAAAATAAAAATGTAAAAACAATTTTGAAAAATTATAAATTTTTGGTTATAAACTAATTTGGTTTTTTTTTTTACTAAAAAGATAACTGAATAAATTTTGGCCAAGATTTATGAAGAAAGATTATTTATTTGCAAAATTTTATGGACTTTCATTTATATTAGCAAAAAAAAATAAAAATCCCAGTGGTGAATAAATACCACCAAAATAAAGTTTTATCTGTCTCAAAAAAATGCTACAAAATTCATATGGGTACAGTGTTGCATGACCGCGCAATTGTCATTCAAAGTGTGATAGCACTGAAAGCTGAAAACTGGCCTGGACAGGAAGGGGTAAAAGTGTCCGGAAATGAAGTGGTTAAATATCACATCAGAGGCTTAGAAGTTCTTCTCTCTCCAGCTCTGCTCTCCAGCAGTGACTTAGCTGTTCAGTCCTGTTATCCATCTCAGCAGCTCAGCTTCCTCTCCAAACAGGGACTTGAAAGATCAGCATACCTTGTTTCCCCTCCCAGCCAGGGGCGGACAACTCATGGGGCCCCCCGGGCAATAGGGGATCATGGGGCCCCTGTGTCCTTGCCCAAACTCAAAAAAAGCCTATGAAAAAGGTACCAGGGGCATCTCATGGGGCCCCCTACTGACTCTGGGCCCTCGGGCAGTGCCCAAGCTTCCAAATGGTCAGTCCGCCCCTGCTCCCAGTGACTCAGCAGTTTAGCTCCCTCTATTTCCCTCTCCCTGTAGTGACTCTTTCTGGTTTTCTCATCTTTAAAGCCTAAACTTAGTAAAAATAGAAAAAAAAGAAGCACATGGGACATTACTTATTCTCAATGCAACATGATCCTAGTGCTGCTGGCTCCTCCACTGAGGGACCTGACATATATACTCATCAAAAGTGCAGACTATACCCATCCTTTCCACCCACCTCCCCCATTCATAGAAGCTGTACCAAGCTTCCATGAATGCAAACTTAAGCTTGAACTAAACTTGAGCTTTAATGTGAACACAGAGCTAGTGCTCTGAGAACGGGAAGTAAAGAGGGATGAGCTGCTCAGTCATTACTGAGAGGGGTATCAAGGTGAACTGCTGAGAGAACAATTTAGGGGACTTCAGTGCTCCTGTTGTAATCTTTTGGGATAAATTATTCCACAGTGCCTGTAGCTACAGAGGACAGTGAGGGCTCGTTTTAAAGTGTTACTAAACCCATGACCCTGCATTCACTATATCTGGTCTCTCACAGTACATAGAACATGAAAATGCAATTATTTTAGTAAATATAAACCGCAAAATATCTTTTCTTATCAGCAGTCTTGTGACTTCTATCTGTGTCCAGCCGAGCACTGGTTAAAGCTTGTAGGAGGAGTTTTCATTCTCCCCTGATTGTCCTATGAGGCTGCAAGACCCTTGACCCTCTGTCTGGAGAGTGTTGATCACATGCACTAAAAAAAAAAAAAAAAAAAAACTCTCTAGCAATACACACCAAACTGAGCATGTGCAGCTTTCCCCCCAAGGCTCTGTTCTATTAGCAGATAGATTGGGGATTGTGGAAGAAGGAGAGGATCAGGGAAGACAAGGTCAAACATCCTTTTTACACAATGTGGAGGATTAACTCCTTTGGTTCCACAGTGAGTATAACAAGCATGCTGTACTGCATATACAGACTGATTTTCTTGTTGTGGGTTTAGTAACCATTTAAGTACTTGAATGTGTATAGCCTGACCACATGTTCCCTTTACTGCCACCTAAAGTTAAATTAGGAACATAATCACCTGTTAGTCAGAACATGATCTTCTGGCATTGAGATCCCAGTTTTGTGTCATTTCACTGTCAGTCTGTTGCATTTTGGAGGTTCTGAGTAGACAACCTTTCTCTACTCCCCCTGGGCTGAGAACCTTAAGGTGGCCATACATGGATTGAAATTTGTCTGGTTTAGCAGGGACCCGGCCAAATTTTGATCCACGTATCGGCTAGCTGGTTGTACACAAGTCGAGCTATTGATGGACTTGTGTACAACCGGCTTGTTGGGTTTTTCCTCAACAATGAGAGCCGCTGGCTATAACTGGCAACACTGATCATTGTTTTCTGCCAATGAGGAAGGCTCCCTGCCAGCAGAATACAATCGCTCAGCGGGAAGGATTCTCTCTTCTACATAGAATGTGTGGATGGGGGAATAGGCTCATTTTTTTGTTATTCAACCAACTGGTTGACCATAAAAAAAAAAAATATGAATCATGTATGGCCTGTCTTATGTTAAAATTATATGGTGCTGAGGTCCTCCTGTCCACTTCCTCTTTCTCTAGGGGTCTCCCAAGGCTCTGTTCTTGGATCCCTTCTATATATCTACACCTCCTCTCTTGGTCACCTGATAACTTCCCATGGCTTCAAATGCCACCTCTAAGTCAATGACACCCAAACCTATCTCTACTTCTCAGCTCACTCCTTCAGTCTCCTCTCGCATTACTAACTGACAAATGAGCATGGATGTCACACCACTTCCTTAAACTAAATCTCTTTAAAATCGAGCTGATCATATTCCCTCACCCTCATGTACTCCTACATCAAAATCAATAATACAACTATCAATCCCTCCCCTCAATCCAGGGTACTAGGTGTAATTCTAGACTCTGACATATCCTTTTGGACCCAAATCCAATCACTGTCAGAAGCTTGTAGAGTTCACCTCCGTCACATCTCTAAAGTTTGCCCTTTTTTAACCAAGGAAACCACCAAGCTACTCATTCTCTCCCTTACCTCTTACCTTGATTATTGCAACTCCTTTCTTATAGACCTACCTCTCCATAGGCCAT